CCCGCCCGGTCCCGCGGCTCCCCCGCGGCCGCTGTGGCCCGGCTCTCCCGCCCCGCTGTTTTTCCGCCTCAGCGAGGGAGATGCGCCCCGGGGCGGTGCGAGCGCGGCCCCCGCGCCTCGGTGGCGAGCTGCCCCCGCCGGGGGTCCCGGGGGTCCCCGCGGCCTCCGCCGCCTCCCGCCGGGCGCGGCCCGGGGGTCCCGCGGCGGTTCCGTGCGTGCCGGGACGGTTCCGCTCGTTCTCTTCCTTTCAGATGGTTTTAAAGCCCCGGGGGAGGAACCGGAGCCTCCCGAGAGGGCACGGCCGCTGTCAGAAGTTTGTGGTTTAATTTCCGAGGGTGCAGGGTCCGTCTGTGCGCCCGAGGGCCGGTGGAGTGAGCTGGGCTGCTGGAGCAGCAGCTGCGCTGAACATCCCTCAGTCAGCCCGTATTTGGTCACTTTTGGGTTTAGGAGACGTGGCCGTTGAGATGTCTCAGTCCTTTTGTCTTAAAGAATCTCCTTGTGGAAGGCTTCAACTTCCAAGCCCAGCTCTGCTCCGGCGGTGTCTGTGGCAGTGCCACTGCCATTGCACCGTTGCACTGGGAGGAAGGTGACTCCATCTGTGAAGCCTTTGAGCTGGATCTGTCTTGACCCCCAGTTATGAAGTAGGAAATCTAAAAAACATAAATAACTTCAGGGTCTCTCAGGGAGCTAGTCAGAGGTTTGGTTTAAGGGCTGCCTGCCGAGGTGTTTGGGCTGGCTGGCATTGGGTGGAAGGAGCTGGCTCTCTCCTGGTGACCCAGTGACACAGGTACAGCAGTGCCAGGGATGGAGTGAGGATGATCCAGCTGCTTGGATGTGAATGGATCCTGCAGTTCCTCCCCACAGCCCTGTCAGTGGTGTACAGCTTGTGAGGATACTTGTGTTCCTTCAGTGTAGCCCCTGGACTTGTGCAGAAGTGGATTTATAGGGCTTGAGGGTGGGTTTTCCTTGTTTTTTTTTCTCTTGTGTATGTTTGTTTTGGTTTTGCCAGCCCAGGTTATGCATTGAAGCATGTAAACATTCAGGAGGAACAGTGTGGGTGAGTCCAGTGAGGCTCGTGTCTTGTACTGAGGATGTTCAGGATAACTCTTGGTGCTTCTGAGTAAGATTTTTTTGGCTATTGGAGTGTTTTCTTACTGCTTGCCAGAAGAAAACCTAATCAGACAAGCATCTGACTTCCAGCAACTTGCATCATCTTTTGTGTGTAAATGATAATATTTTAGACCCATGTGGCTTTGCTTGAAAAACTGGAGAAGGGCACAAGGCAGCTACTGTGGAACTTCCCAGCAGGAGCCTGGTGGTCTCATTCTCCATCCTGCATTTCTTCTTAGGATCCAGGTTCTTTGAACCAGGTGTGTCACTGCAGATGGCAGGGATGCTTTTCTGCCAGGTGACCCTGGGGGCAGAGGCTGTGCTATGTGACCTTGCACACAGTCAGCTCATTCAAGCATCCTGAGCTCTGACAGGTGAAAAAAAATCAGTATTTATAGGCTGCCCAAAGCAGCACATGAGACTGTGACTCTGAAGCAGTCACCTAATACACCTCATCACCCTTGTGTGGTGGGGAAGGCATTTCTTCACACAGTTCCTCTCACCTGTCTTCTGGCCAGGACCTTGGGCACGGTGGGTGCATGAGATGTCTAAGCCTCAACAGCATCTTAGAGCCATTGATGAACCAGAAATAGAAGGATCTCATACTAGATTATCCACTTAAAGAGACCTACAGTTGCGTAGCTGCACTTCCAGCTTGCAGGACTGATTGTAAATCCACTAAAAATAGATCTTTATTTCACACTAGGCTTACACATGCTCCCTGTCAAAATGCTTTTAATTTCCCTCTCTGACGTGTGCTGGTGTATTTTGTATTCTGCTCAACGTTTCTGAGAATCACAGGCAAAAATGTTCTTCAGTGTTGCTCCTCCTACAGAGCTAAAACTCTGCACGTTCCATAAAATAAACTTTAAAGGTTCATCTGGATGCCCAAAGCCATGGCAGGATCCCACAAGTGCTGTCAGAGCTAGATGACCAGTAAATTGGGGAAGTGATGTAAACTTCCATAATTAGGGGCACAGGAATCCTCAGCTACCACTGCTGTGAATAGTGGAAGGGGGAAAATTCTGTTTTGGGGGTAAGAAATAGCCAGTGCTGAAGTTGTAGCTCTGGTGGAGGGCTGATGTGGTGCTGGGAGTGTCAGGCTGGGGAGGGATAGAAGGGGCAGTGCTGGAGGCTGGGATTTGGTGTCTGAAGCTTGCAGGATCCTCTCCTCCAGTTCTTCCATTAAGTGCTCTGTATACTTAATACAGCTCTTGATTGGAAATTGTTCCCCTGAGCATAGATTCTTTTATCCGTATGTAAATGCTCCTTTGTGCTCAGTTTTAGGCCACGTACTTCACTTGCTGTGTCTGTCACTGGAGAGAGGTTTGAATAATTCCCTGATTTTTTGGAACAGACGTGTTGTATTTTGCAGATCTCGCTGGGCTCGGGAGCAATGAGTTTCCCCATGTCAGCTGTCTGCAGCCTTTGAGTGATGGGGTGACAGCTCAGGAGGGAGGCATGGAGACCTTGTAACCTATGGAGGCAGGAAAAAGTGTGATGGAGCTGTATGGAATTGAATTAGTTTACTCTCTCTGAATGTGGCTCATCACTTGCTTTGGTTTTTCTTTACACTGCTTGTGTTTTCATTGGGTTTTAACTCAAGTTAGTTCTGTAATTCTTTTCCCCATGAGGTTCTTACCTCATTCTCAGAAGCTTGTGAGCTTCAGGAATCTGGGTGGATATGATTAGAGGAATTCCATTTGTAGAGTCAAGGTTCAGATTGGAAGGACCTTTAAAGATCATCTTGTTCCAGCCTCCTGCCACAGTCAGGGGCAGCTTCCACTGGTCCAGGCTGCTCCCAGCCCCATCCAGCCCAGCCATACCACAACATCCAGTTGAAGTGCAGAACTGCACTTGGGTTTTTCATTACTTGTGGAGGGTGGAGATGGTCTGAGGTGCAAACGTTGGCCTGCACAGCTTTGGGGTGATTTTGCTCACGTCCCGTTGGCGTGGCTGCTGCAGTGACTCACTTCTAGATGTCACTGGTAGAAATGGGGTGTCTGGGTCCTTCCTCTGGCTTCCCACACGAGTCAGACTGAGAGACAGCGCCGTGTTGCTGACTCCTGAAGCGTGGGGACAGATGACACCAGAGCTGTGCACCGCGATGCTGGGGGAATTCAGACCACGGTTATGAAGAAGTTCCTGAATGAATTCCTGTTGCTGCTTTCCAGGCCATGGCCTGTGCCTGTCTCAGGCTCTTTCTGCTCGTGCCCAGGTCTGTGGAGCTGGGTGCCTTTGCATTCCAGGAGCAGCCCTGTCTGCTGCCGGGAAGGCGCAGGAGCCGGCGCGTGGTCGGCAGCTGTAGGGTAATCTGCTCCCAAAGAAACTGAGTGGTTTACATCTACTGCAGCTTATTTTTGCTCATTGTTTCCTGTTTATGTGGATAATCTTCTTAGCCACAGAAATGTCCGGTCCTCTCTTTGAATCCTTGAGTTTTTGCTTCTAGACATTTCGGAGCAGTAAGTTCCACGGGCTTAAAAAAAAATATAAAGTAATAACCTCTTTACTTTGTATATAGGTGACAATTCTATTCTTGATATGATATATGAAAGGATGAGTTGTTATTTATTGTGTTGCCTTTTAATACCTGATTTTCTTCATTTTATGTCAAAGGCAAGCACTCTTAAGCCTTTTTAGTGTCTCTAGCCAATTTTTTTTCCCCAAATCCTTTACTGATTTTTGTCCTTTTTTGAATTCTGTCCTTCTCTGACACGAATTCTGACTCTAAACTTGTGGTTCCCTTCCTGGGATGGAGTGAAGATGAAATGAATGCAGTAATCTGAGGAAGGTACAGTATTGGATTGTATAGCTGCACAGTAATACTTCTAGTGACAAAAAAAGCACTGGATGCTTTGTGGAGAGGTAGGAAAAGGTTTTACATTGTTACAGGTCACCACTGTTCACTTTGGAAGGTTTATGTGGCAGCAGCTCCATCTATTGTATAGTGAAGTCTGGTAAAGCTTCCATTGGGTGGGGTCAAGGCCAAATTCTGCTGCTTTTTCTCCTCCATGATTGTATTTCAGTTAGTTGGGGAAGAGATGAGGGTGAAGCCTTTTGTGGCTTTGACCCATGTTCACCAGGATCTTGAGGTAGCCTGAAATTTTACTGTGTGTCTTTGCAGGTGAATCAAGTTTGAGGGGGCACATTACTGGGTCTGGGCCACAGCTGATGGAGTAGTTCTGGGAATGCAGGAGGCAATTCTGTAATGACACTTGCTCTTTCTGTCTTTTCAGGTGCTGGAAAATTACTCAGATGCTCCTATGACCCCTAAACAGATTCTGCAGGTCATAGAGGCTGAAGGTCTAAAGGAAATGAGGTTAGTATTGATGATTTTGTCTAAACCAGTGTGCAGCATGGGGGAGGCAGTGTATGAAGGCTGGTGTTGCTTCATACAGTTCTGCCTCATCCCCAGCCCACTTTGCTTCCCTTTTTCTCTTTTCAGCCTGGTAATTTCAGATGACAGTACAGACATTTATATACAGATTGTGAGGGTTTCTTTTTCACTGATAATAACTGGAAGATGTTCTTGGATTTTTAGGTAATATACAGAGTCCCTTCCTCCATCTATTGTGAAGTAAATGCCTCTTGCAGATCAGGCTCCTGCATTGTGCTGTACTTACCACTCACTCCCATGGTTCTCACATAAGTAGCTCCCAGCAGTTTCTGCTATTGTGACTCGAGTTTGAGAACAGTTTAAGTTTTATCACCTCTGATGCTTCATTTCTAGAGCAGACATTATGTTTTAGAAGAGACAGTCTTCCCTGTGTCACTGGCTTGTGCTCAGATTCTTGAGCACCAAGAGAACAGAGTTCACATCACACGGCTGTGGCTCTTGACACATTGTAGGAGGAGATGCCCATCTCAGAGTGGATTTCATGTGGAAAAGAACCTGATACAAAGCCTTGAAAAGGGCAGAAGTGGGAGACTGCTTTCCTTGGTTAAGTTCCTGTGAGCTTCCATCTGTTTCCATGACAGTAGTAGAAATACAGAGTGTCTTGCAGCTCAAAGAAAGTGGGTAACTGTGATAGTCCAAATGCCTCAGTTACTGCTGCCTGGCAAAAAAAAAAAAAAAAAAAGGGAAATTTGACTACCAGAGACACGAAAAGCTGCTGTCCAGGGATGGACTTCTGACAAATCCAGATGCAAGGACTGTTTCTAGTCTTGCTTCTGCCTCCCTTTGTTTCCGTGGACTGTTTTTCACTGTGGTGTTTGCATTTCCTGAACCCGTGTTTTACCCAACTACAGAAGGTAAACTGATTTCTTCTGGGACTTAAATGTTAGCTTGTTTCTGCTCCTTGTTTGTGTGAAATCAGGAAACAGCTGGGGTGTTTTGAATAGTGAAAATCAGTGACGTGTACAGAGGTGTTGGGTGGGGGACCTGCTGTTGTTTGGAGAGGCACGAGGCTGGTGTGTGCTGCTGCATCAGATTTGGAACTGTTGGAACACCCACCTTCCATGGGCTTAAAGAAGGCTGGGGAGGGACTTTTCACAGGGGCATGTAGTGGTAGGACAAGGGGCAATGGACTTCAGCCGAAGGAGGGTAGATTTAGATTGGATATTAGGAAGAAATTCTTCCCTGTGAGGGTGGTGGGGTCATGGCACAAGTTGCCCAGAGAAACTGGGGCTACTCCAGCCTTGGAAGTCTCTGAGGCCAGGCTGGACAGGGCTTGGAGCCACCTGGTCTGGTGAAAGGTGTCCCTGCACAGGGGAGGGGGTTTGGAATAAGATGGCCTGTAAAGTCCCTTCCAACCCAAACTGTTCCATGGTTCTGTGATGCTCTCTGAGATCTTCTCTGGTTTGGATATGGGCTGTGGTTTCAGTAGAATTCAGACAGATTTTAATGAGAATCTTCATAAGAGGGGCTTTGCTTTAATCAATCTTCTACAGCTCTCTCACATAAGTCCTGTTACCTAAGCAGGCAGTTGAAGATCTCTGTGCACAGGCTGTCCCCTGCCAAAGATAATAGCAGGGCTCTTCACACACATAAATTATCCTGTGCTTTCCCAGTTCTTACAAGTGACCTGTCACACTGTGTAAGTAAAGACCAGACTTCAGAACATGTGTCATGTTAAATCCCACAAACCTAACTCATTCCTTTAAAGGTCGATAGTTTCCCTTGGGATATCTGCTTTTCCTCCCTGGCCATTAATTCTCTGCTTTAAGAAAAGATTGTTTTCTTCAGAGCGTGATTGTTTGCAGAATAAAGGCAGTGAGCCTGCCTGGCTGACCGTGCAGCAGACTTTGCTGGTGCTTGTATAGAAGCTCTTCCTGAAACTCCATTTCCTGAAGGAAATAGCTCAGTGCCTTGAGATGTTTTTCCTTCTGAATCAATTCTGAGGTGGGGCTCCCTGGCTGGGGGGTCACGCTGCTCTGCTGGGAGGGCTGTGTTCCATACCAGGCACTGACATTCCCATGAGCCAGTACCCGGTACCATGCTGAGTTTAGCTCCTGGTAGAGTTTTAACTGCTTGGTTTTTTTCTTGTTTTGGGGAAAATTACTTAGTTTGCTGTTTTAAGAGAGCTCTGTGGCTGGTGGGTGTGCTTGGAGCGTCTGGTAAACACAGAGGGGAAAACACTGTCTAACAGGACCGAAGGCTGGAAATTTTGTTCACATGATCTGAAAGTGATACAGGGTAACTTTGCCTGTTGCTGAGGCATGTGAAGAAATGTCCAAAACCCAAGCACGTACAGGGTGGAAACAGAAATTCTGTGTTTTCAATTTGACAATGATTTTCTTTGAAATGTTTTATCTCAGTCCAGTTTTCAGTTTCACTTTTAGTAGGAATGCAGTCAATAGTGCTGTAATGTGTCTTCCAGACAACTTTCTGCCCGTACATGTGGGACTTACTGGAAAACACCATATTAGGTGGCACAGCAGTTCCAGCAGTGTGAGTGTAGGATGGGGCTTTAACCAGGGAGTTATTTAGGAATTAACAAATGAGAGCATCAGAGCCTTTGAGCTCTGCTCAAGTAGTTTGATCAGTGACTTATCAGGGAGACATTCCAGTAACATGTGTCTCTACAGTTTGTTACATTTTTCTACTGCTAAATAAATCTGGGGGATTTCCAGCACTGAAGGATTCCAGGAGAGGAGGGGAGGAAACAGGTAATAAAAGTTAGAAATGTCTAAAAACAGACAAGGATAGCTTTAAAATTGGCGTCATATTTACTGTTTGCTGTGATGTGCAAGGCTGACGTACAGGTCAGAATGAAACCAGTGACACTGTTCTGACTGAAGTGCCTGTCCCATAAAGTTAACAGCATCACCTCTGTTCCCCTCATCAGCTAAAGGATGCCCATTTAACCAGATTTTCAGGCTGTTTTCTTGATGATCTGTTTCCTAAACTCTGTCCTTTCTCTGTCTGTGTTGCAGTGGCACATCTCCCCTGGCCTGCCTGAACGCCATGCTGCACTCCAATTCCCGGGGAGGGGATGGGCTCTTCTACAAACTGCCCGGACGCATCAGCCTTTTCACACTCAAGGTAAACGCTGAGCTCCGCTCCCAGCTGAGGGCTCAGGGGGTGAGTTCTGCTCCTTGTGCAGGGCTGAGTGTTACCCTGTCACTGAGCATCATGAGCAGTGAGATCATCCTGTGAGAGAGGGTCTGCAATTCATGATTTCCTTGGAGCTTGCACCATTCAATTGTATTCAGCCATCTATGATAAATTATTTTAAAAAAACCCAACTGTTATTTCTTGAATCCTCTTACTGCAGTAGCTGGTGTCCAGCTCAGGTGGCTGTTCATCAGAACAGATCTGTGCACTCCCTTGCTGCCAGCCACAAGGGAAAACAGCCAACCAAGGAACTGGTCCAAGAGCTTGTAGCGACAAGTAAAATCTTGATAGGAAAATGTATATTCATTCTTCTGGCTGCTTGTTCTGTGTTCCACTACTTTCCGTGATTCCGTGTTATTTTACATCAGTATTTTCCTCAGATCTTAAAATCTCTCTGGAATACTTTTTTATTTTTAGTTTATTGTTCCAGTAATATTGAAAAAGTTTCTGTTACTGAGGTTTTCTTTTGCATTGTTTTGTACTGTTGGATTCCTTGATAAATATCAACTTGGTAGATCTCAGCTATTTCATTTCCATCTTTTTTCTGCTGTTAGAAAATCCTGTTGAATTGACACATTTTGCTGAAAATAGATGGCTTTGAAATGGCTTTTATTGTACAAGTAGGAAATACATCTCCTAAGCTCGCTATCTTAGTGTTTGCCCACTCTGATGTTACTTGTTCTTTCATAGTGAGTTGCTCCTCTTTAATATGAACTCATTACTTACAGAAAACTACGACATATTATGAACCTTTCTATTAAATTAATTATTATTAACCTGGTATTTTGGATATGTACTTGTCTAGGAAGGGGCTATGAAGTACTCTTAGTTTAGCTGACTTCAATTCTGCTATGAGCCCAAATATGCTTTAAAATACCTTTCTGCATCTGGGATTAAAATAGGAAAAGAATTGAAGGTTAAAGTACATCCAGTTAACTGTCTGATCTCATTGGTGTAGATTTGGGAGGGAGGGAGGGCTGTAGCCACCCCAGTTCTGTTCCCTCTCTAGAAAGATGCCTTGCAATGGTCCCGGAACCTGTCAGTGCCAGAAGGGGAGGAGCTGGAGGACACAGCAGATGCAGAAAGCTGTGGGTCCAATGAAGCCAGCACTGTGAGTGGTGACAACGATGGTAAGTGCCTGGTGACATTAACCTTAACCTCCAGGACCTACTTCTGTGTCTGACTGAGGGCTCATCTCTTTCAGTGTCTCTTGATGAAACTTCTTCTAACGCCTCGTGTTCCACTGAATCTCAGAGCAAGGGACCTGCTACCAGGGAGGGCTACAGAACTGCTTCCCAGGTAGGAGAAAGTGGGACTAATGGGAAGGATGAAGCCTCTCAAGGGGAGCTTCCATTACTATTGGGGTGGTATGACAGGGACTATTTGTGCATAACTGCCTCAGAGATAGTTATGGGTCTGTCTCCTTGGGCAAGAAGTGGCAGGATGGTGAGGGATCATGTATGGGAAGACAATTTTGAATTCTCTGCTAGTCCTAAATGTAGTGTTGCCTGAAGATTCAGCTAGGAGGAGCCAGGCAGCTCTTTAACTGAGGAGCATGCTGCTTAGAAGATTATTATACTCTTCCATAATGCCTTCATTCCTTTGTTTTGTTTTTGGTTTCTCTCTGGTCTGCAGACAACCAAACAGAAGAAAAAGACAGGTGTGATGCTGCCACGGGTGGTGTTAACCCCACTGAAAGTAAACGGGGCACACATGGAGTCTGCCTCGGGTGAGCATGGCTTTGGGGGGTCCTAATGACCTCACAGATCTCTGACAGTCCCCAGTCATCAGTGTTTGCCTGAGGATTTCTGTAACACCTCTGAGAATGAGTGAGACTGCAGAGTTGTGTGTGTTTAATTCACTCAAAATGGTTGGTACCTGGGCAATACCCTGTAATAGCAGATTTGTTAGTAACAGAGAATTCCTGTATGATAAACCACTCTCCCAGTTGGGCTTTGATTGTTCTTTGCATATTTTTATGATGTTGTTTTGCATTTAGGCTTCACAGGAAGGCACGCTGACGGGGAGAGCAGCAGCACATCCAGCAGCAGCAGCAGCTCCTTGGCCCTGTGCAAAACCAGCCTGCGCAGTAGGACAGAGATAAACAGGGATCCTCCTCAGCTGCTGAGGGGCATCCGAAAGCCCACAGCTGGTACGTGCTCCTGGGAAAGGCAGAAGAATAATTGGTGATGGTGGAGTCCACATGTATCTGAGAAAAGAGCACCAGGAGGCATTTGATGACATGAGGTCACAAGCCAGGCTTTCCACTTTTGAGTGTTAGTGATAGAATTGTTTAAAAGTTTGCCTGGTCTGAAGAGCAGCATTGAGAATCATACCGGAATATGTCAGAACTGTGACCTCATGTCAGAATTCCAGATGTGTGTTTGTTAATTACTGCGCTGGAGAGTCATTCTTCACACTCAAATACTGCAATCTTTATCATCTCTCTTGCTCCTTTTGTTATTGCAATTTGACATAAATTTCAGCCCATAATGCTGAAATACTTCTGTACAACAACGTTAATTTTGCCTGTCCTTAAACTCCAGGACAAATGAAACGGAACAGGGGTGAGGATATTGACTTTGAAACCCCAGGCTCCATCCTTGTCAACACAAACCTGCGAGCGCTGATCAACTCCAGGACCTTTAACGCGCTTCCGTCACACTTCCAGCAGCAGCTGCTTTACCTGCTGCCTGAAGTCGATAGACAGGTATGAGCACTCAGGTGTTTTCCCTTCCCTGATCGCCTCTCCAGTGTGGAACAGCTGGAGCAGATGTGTTCTGTTTGTCCTGCTAGGTGGGGGCTGACGGGCTGATGCGCCTCAGTGGCAGCGCTCTGAACAACGAGTTCTTCACCCACGCTGCACAGAGCTGGAGGGAGCGGCTCGCTGATGGTGAGTGCCTTTGCTTTCCTGAGTGCCTGGGGAATAGCTGCTCATTTTGCAGGATTTTTGGTTTTCTTTTGCAGTTAATGAGTGGGCACTTAGTCCAGCTTTTCTGTATGTTGCCCCCAGCTTTTTCTTTTTTTCTTTTTTTTTTTTTTAATCAAAGATACTATTTCTTTTGGTACCATGGGACCTTCAGCATTAAGTGCTAAAGGTGTAAAGTAGTGCCAGACTTATTTTTCCTTAAAAGGTGGCCTGTCTGTTAAAACATGATTTTTCCTGAAGCCATAGGCAGCATGTGGATCCAGAGTGGGATGGGGAGGAGGGTGTTAACAGCAGGTCTATCTTTCATATATTTAGCTGCTGTACAGTTCAAACATTAGGTTGCATTTGCAGAATGAGTTTTGTTTGGAACTGAATTCCAGTCTCTTGCTTCCATGTAGGTGAATTCACGCACGAGATGCAAGTTCGAATCCGGCAGGAGATGGAAAAGGAAAAGAGAGTGGAGCAATGGAAAGAGAAGTTCTTCGAGGACTACTATGGGCAAAAGTGAGAAATTTTACCATGTCTATCCTGCTTTATCCGTGTTTGTGTAGGTGGCAGAGTGTTTCTGTTTACCTGAGCAGATGTAGCATAAACTCCTTGAAAAACAGGGGTTGTGGGGTGAATTGTTCCAGCTGTTGTTCTGGGAAAATCCTGGAACTGGATTTTCCAAATCCAGTGGAATTGGCTGGGTTCAGCAGAATTTTGTAGCCCATCTCTTCTGTTTCCAAGAAAAGTTGATGGTATTTTCCATCACAAATTTTTGGGGTTTTTTTCTCATTCCATGTGATAGCAAGCCCATCTCTTCTGTTTCCAAGAAAAGTTGATGGTATTTTCCATCACAAATTTTTGGGGTTTTTTTCTCATTCCATGTGATAGCAAGCCCATCTCTTCTGTTTCCAAGAAAAGTTGATGGTATTTTCCATCACAAATTTTTGGGTTTTTTTTTCTCATTCCATGTGATAGCAATGTAGAATGTGTGGGTTCTCCCCTTGCAGGATGAGTTAATGAGGCTTTGATGATTCTCTGCCTGTGCTGGCAGTATTCAGTAACACTGAAATTGGGGTGAACTTTACCTTTTAGCTGGCTTTTGTGTTTGTCTTATAGGTTGGGCTTAACCCAGGAAGAATCCCAGGCACAGAATTCAGTGCAGGAGGACGCTGAGAACAGGACAGAGCTGTCTGTGAAAGGAGAAGCAAGGCTGCCACGTGGGCCGGCCACGCGCCAGAGGGACGGGCGCTTCCGGAAGCGCTCCCGGGCCGACCTGCGGTGCCGGGCCAGGAGGAGCCTGTACAGACTGAGGGAACCTGAGCACACGGAGACTCCCAAGGAGCCTGCTCCCGTGGGGCCAGATCCCTCACTGCATAAAGAGCCAAAGCCTGAGACAGACCTGAAGAAAGATGATCTGACCAGCCCCTCGGCTGCAGGATTGAAGGCAGAGAGTACCGAACTGCACCTCTCTCCAGAGACTTCCAAATCAAACAGCAAATCAGAAGATCCATCATTGGCAGCTACCAGCAGAATTCCCAGTTTGCCCCAGGAGAACTCTGCTCAGGAGTCCAAGGAGCAGAAGAGAAAAAGCTTTGAGGAGGCTGCCTCTGCGTCCTTCCCCGAAAAGAAGCCCCGGCTTGAAGATCGTCAGTCCTTTCGTAACACAATTGAAAGTGTTCACCCAGAAAAGCCACAGCCTACTAAAGAGGAGCCCAAAGTCCCACCCATCCGGGTAAGAAAGAGCTTTAGAGCTGCTGTATCTCAGGGCTGCCGTGCTCAGTAGTATCAAAACATTATTAAAATGTCAAGTGTTGCCATCTTAAGGGAAGGAGTCGAAGGGTTTCATTGGTAGAGCTGGTGAAGTGCCTCTGACTGCCACGGTTTGCTGTCGTATTTAGACAGGCAAAGAATGGAAAATCATCCCAAGGTCTTTGCACAAGAGCACAGGGTAACCTTGACTTACTCCCTTCATTTGCATTTCTGTGGCTACAGAAACACTGCCTGAAATGAGCTGACTGACTGCAAAAGACCTTGAAATTGTGTTCTTTATCCTGTGTAGTTTCTGAGTTCTTTTCCTTTGCTTTTGGACAGAATCTCAGTGTTCCTCCTGACTTTTCCATTTTGACTAGGATACCCATTTTGGTAGCTTCAGTGCAGTCATCCTGGTGCAGAGAAGAGCAGTTTGATCTCTGAACACGTGAATATAAATAACTTATTTCCTATTTGCCTGCAGGCTCTGATAAAACAATACTTGTGTGAACTGAGCTTCAAAGATCACACAGCCGAGGTTGTAGGACCATGCTGCTTCTCTGCCCAAATTAGTTTCTAAGTTGAAATTTTTGTTGAATTTTGTACTAAAAATTGCGATGCGCAGTTGCCAGTAAAACACATTTCACTGGAGATGGGCAGTGTTAGAACTCACCTCTTTTCCCTTTCTTTCAGATTCAACTTTCACGTATTAAACCACCCTGGGTGGTTAAAGGTCAGCCCACTTACCAGATCTGCCCCCGGATCATCCCCAGCACGGAGCCCTCCGGCCGGGGCCGCCCCGGGGCCCGCACCCTCGCAGACATTAAGGCCCGTGCTCTGCAAGCCCGAGCCCAGCGCGAAGCCGCCGCCATCGGAGGAGGGGGTGGCCCTGGTGGGGGGAGAGGCTCCGATGAAGGAGGCGGTGGAGGAGAATCCAGCGGCCGTTCCCAGCACAGGAGATCCAAGAGAGCTCACGGAAAGCGTGCGTCAGATCTACAGCGAGCACAACTACAGCTGTCTGTTCATCTGAGCGGGGGCAAGGCTGACTCCAAAGGGGCTGCTCAGGAGGCCAGCGTGAATTCCTGCCTCTCTTCCAGACAAGATCACTCTTCCTCAAAAAGCAAAAGGAGCAGCGTTCTGGGCTGTGCCACGGGGTCAGGGGACACTCAGCCTGGTGATGGGTCACCCAGGAGACCGTTCTGTGGTTCTCTGACTGTGTCATCCTTGGACAGTGCAACTCCTGAGAGGCAGGAGGAGAGTCCTGAGCAGCTCCTCCATGACCCAAGGACAGAGCTCCCGTCTTGTGCTGCATCACAGGACAGCACAAAGCTGGGATGTGTGGTTCCTGTGGTGACCAATCTGTCGTGTTCTGGGGGGCAGGGAGCTGGGGTCAGTCCCACGGGACACAGGGCTGTGGTGGAACTCGGAGATGTTGGTGCTCCCACCATACAGCTGGATTATGCTTCTGATGTAAAGCAAAGTTCCTCCAGTTGTCCTTTTCCACCAGAATTGTCATCGAGTGTCACAGAACGCCATGATCCCGAAAAGGTGTCTGGTTTTAGATATAACAACTCCCAAACATTTCTGGAAAAATGTGTTGCTGATAATAGCTCCAAAACAGTGACTGTTGGAGTGAAGAAAGCGATCCCCGCGGTGTGTGATGCTGCACACATGCAGGCAGAGAAAGGCAGTGATGGCAAACTGAGTAATGAGGAGCAAAAGGCAGAGGCTCTTCTGCAGCCCTCTGTGCATGGTGACTTTATTTCTCAGAATAGGATAGATACCTCTGAAAAACTCCTGCAGCCACAGGAGAGGTGCCCCAGAACCGAACCAGAAAATGCACATCAGCCCCTGGGAGAGACTCAGGAGTTGAAGAGAAGTGGAGATGAAGAAATACAGAGTACACACAGTGAAACAACAGACACTGCTTCCGACTGGGAAGGGGACATGGCTGATGAGAATGTGGAGGTGGAGATGTGTTTCAGAAGTGTCAGCTGTAGGGAGATGGCTGAGAAAAGCTCTTCCTGTCACAGCAGCAGTGAGAAGCGCAATGGGATTAGGTCAAAATTGTCTGTGGAGACAGAGAGTCTGGCCTGTTCTGGGGACTTGGCTGCACCCCCAGCTCAGAGGTGGGGACCCCAGAAAGCCGAGCGCCCGGCCAGCTCTGCCCGGCCCATGTCCTCCATCGAGACCAACAACCCTCTGGTGATGCAGTTGCTGAAGGGGAAGCTTCCACTGGAAGAAGTTCTCCCAGTGTCTCACGTCAACATCAAGCTGGAAATTGCACAGCCAGTGCTGCAGAAGCAGTCAGAAAGCCTCTCCCTGCAGCTGGACAGAAGCAGTGGTCACTGTTTTGGCAAAGAATCTTCTCCAGATGTAGGAATAAAGACGAGTGCCCAAAGCAGGAGCGATGATGTTTGCTCAGTGAGATCTTCTGTAGATCCTCAGGAAAAAACCTGTGGATCAGGAGCAGCATTGCCTAGAGCAGAGGGTGCAGAGGATCAGGCTGTCCCAGAAAAACATTCCAAAGTTGGTTCGACTTTAAGCTGCCAGGACCAACTGGCAAACGTGGCAAGTGCCTCTCTGAAGTCTGAAGATGCAGACCCTCGGGAAAGAACATTTTCTTCCTGTAGCTTTGAGGAGCAGAAGGAGATGCCCAAGGTCCACCGGATGCCACAGCACAACCCGTTAGCAAGTGTCACAGCAAGTAAAAGCCCAGAGAAGCTGAATGCCCCTACAGAGCCTCGGTTTTTATCTCCAGGTGTAACTTCTCTTGGACCAAACCAGACAGGAGGTGCATTAGTCAATAAAAATTATGGTGGGGTTCAAGGCAAAAAGCTCTTTGGTTCTGGTTTTCCTTCCAGCCCCAGCGTGAGGCTGCATCACTCCAGGGCTTTGGAACACAGTTCAGCCATGGAAACCTTTTCCCCTGGCAAACAGATTCCCTTGGACAAGGGCTGTGCACTGGGAGAAGGAATCCCAGCTGCCAGGGAGGAATGGACTTCAAAGCATCACAGCAGCACCCCTGGAGGGATCAGAAGCGAGAAGGTGCTGGTGTGTGGCAGCCCAGCCAAGAGTAATGCAGAGAACCGGGGGGATGTGGCCCAGCAGCCCACAGAACTGGCCGGGCACGCACAGAGAGAGCCACTGGTCATGGACTGGCCCTTCTTTAAGTTTTCAAGGGATCCAGGAAAAGGACAGTGTCACCCTTTGGAGCCTTCATCCATCCCCTCTCAGCTCAATATCAAGCAGGCGTTTTATGGGAAGCTTTCAAAGCTGCAGCTTAATTCCACCAGCTTTAATTATTCATCCAACGCTCCGGCTTTCCCCCGAGGCCTTGCTGGGAGCGTGGTGCAGCTCACCCACAAAGCGAACTTTGCTGCGAGCCGGAACACGGCCCTGGCTGTGCAGATGTTTGCTGACAGCAGCAGCGTCGACGAGATCTCGTTCCAGTGCTCGTGCAGCCTCAAAGCCATGATCATGTGCAAAGGCTGCGGCGCCTTCTGCCACGACGACTGTATAGGACCCTCTAAGCTCTGTGTATTGTGCCTTGTGGTGAGATAATAAATTATGGCCATGGGACAGGTTGTATATTCAGTGTGTGTATTTTGATAACGACTGATCCTAACGCCTGTACACAAAGTACACAAAGTACTCTCTGTTCATAGTAGAAACGCTGTTACACTTTGTTTTGGTGAGGAACGTTGAGCTGCCTTCCCACGGAGGTCGACAGTGCAGAGCTCATTCCTGCTGATGGGGACACCCTGCTCTGGGTGGGCTGTGTCCCATGGCAGCGATCCTGCTGCTTCCTGCACCATGGAAATTCCAGCTGTGCTCTGGTGTTGCACCGAGGCTGACGCCGGGGGAGAGGCCGTTCGCTGTGGCAATCCCTGGACCTTCTGTGGAGGAAATCCTTACATCCAAAGGACCTGGAAGATGGTGATTGCTATTTCAGGGCTGCGCAAGGTGAGGCCCTACAGTCTTCCACTCTCCCCTTCTGCCATCTCCATTCCCGGTTTGTGTGGGAAGTGCTGCTGTGCAGTGAGGGTAAGCAGAAGAGCTGCCCTGCAGGGATGGTTCCACGCAGTCTTTGGATGCTGCAGCAGGATGTGGTGCCCAGGGATGTGCTCTGCAGGTGGTTCTGGAGCTGTGTACAGCCCACCATGTGCCACATGGAACCCACGTGGAGGATGCAAGAAGAGGAAAAAAATTTCGGGGCAAGTGCCAAGCAAATGCCTTCTGCTGGCCTGCAGGAAGCTGTGTGGCCAGGGAACTGTTCCTGGCTGAACTGGCCCAGCAGCTGTGCCTGCCTCCTTTGGCCAACTTCCACAAACTGCTGTGGAACACTGGAGGTTCCCTGGAGCTCAGTGATAGGGTCAGTGAGCTCTGCACTGCAGCTTTGTGGTGAGGACCTGAAAGCCCACAGCAGCTGAGCACCTGCGAGCATCAAGCTGTGCATCTGTGTGACCATCACCTAACATTTAAAGCAGTGTTCTTTCCTCTTTTTTATTTTCCTTTTTTTATATATTTTCATTATTGGATGTATAAAGTGAGTTATTTGGCTCCTGTAAGTATCCTCTCTGCATCTGTTTGATCATATATTTATATGTTGTACACAGTACTGGCCAACTCTGTAAATGGATGTAATGTACATAGAGCATAAAGGGGTCTTTTTTTTTCCTTGGATTTCCAGGCTCTACAGCAGTATTGCATTAAAGTGGTGTTAGTTATTGTCAGAGCCACTGTATTCCGTCTTGCCTGACGTGAGGCTCACCACACTGGGGTTGGTTCCAGCAGCCTCCCCGTGCCCGAGGTGCCCGGGTGGACTGTGCTGAGCAGGCTCAGGATGACCAGGTGGGATTTGCTGAGCCGAGCTCACTCCCCGGTTGCTCATTGTAGCTCTTGCCAGTTGTTGCTGCACCTGAGCTCCCAGGGCATGGCTGTACCTGCACTGCAAGGAGGTGAATGAACATCCATGTGCATCCAGAGAGGGAGAGCAAAACTGCAATTCTCTTCCTCTTTGGAGCAATTCCTAATCAAGAGTTAATTGCTTCAGTGAGGGGGAGAAGCCGCTGGCTTATTCAAGCGGGCAGTAGCAAGAATTTTAGGGAGTTTATTTTCATTTTTTTCTTCTTGTCCCTTTTCCAGCTCCATCCTACCTCCCTTCACCATGCACTTTCTTTCAGCCGTGCAAGTTCCTCTTTCAGCCACAATCGTGAGGGGTGGAGCAAGTTCAGTCCCTGAGATGTTTTTTATCCTCAATGCATCCACCAGCCTCATCCCACGAGAGTGAGAGCCCGGTGCACCCCGGCCTGGGCAGGGCTGCGGTGCCCCTGGGGGCGAGCAGAGGTGTGGAACCTGCTTACCAAAGATGGGGAGTGGAGCAGGGGGCTGGCTCTGCCTCCTGGGGGCCACTGCAGTGTTCAGCTCGGACTGGTCTGGGGGGCAGAGCCCTCGGGGGGGCCTGCTCGTGTCTGTCCCTTGTGCTATTGGAAAAATAAACACTGTAAAATCTGCTTGTGTGGTTGCAGTCCTTTCTCTGAAATCCTCCTCCATTCTAAGGCAATGTGGCTTTTCCTTTCCTCCCTTTTAACTGCAGCTGTTCCAGAGCTCTGCTCAAGTCGCTGTGGGGAGGGGCTGTGTTGCTGCTTGGCTTTGTTAAATCTGGTTTTATGCACTTGGAGAGCACTGAGGATGGTGCAGCTCCTGCAGAGATGCCGTGTGGCTCTTGGGGAATGGACACCCTGGAGGCTCTGAGAGCCACGGGGGCAGTGGGACACTGCAGGGGCTCCCTGCCCTGCTGGGGTGATGCCTCTGGGCAGCAGCACTGAGACTTTTCCCTGAGTCAGGGCAGGTCCTGCTGTTACTGCCGTCATTGTTGGATAAATGGATCTAAAAATGTTTCTCAAGAGCATAAATGTGATACCAATTACAGTTTATTGAAACTACTTGGAAACTCACTTTATGGCCAAGTCCTTTCTCTTTTTTGGGCAGTAAGGAAATAACATGAATTATGATGTGATGTGTCTGGGTTCTGCAGGGCAAGCAGGGATCTGCCTGGGGCTGTGGGAGTGCTGAGATCCTTGTGGTGACACAATCCCTGACTTCCTGGCATTCCACAGCTCTGCCATTGCAGAACAGCAGCAATGGCCTCACACACCAGCCAGGGCTGGGGCAGCAGATGGTCCAGCACCAGCCCTTGGGGTGAAAAAAGGCTTCTGTGGTTTTTGGAGGTTCACTGATGTTCTGACTCTGGCAGGCTGTCTGCACACAGAATACCTGGATAATCTAAATAAGCTAAATACAGGGAATGCAAAAAATGAGTAGTTACCTAGCCAGGCTTTAAAACTCAGTATTAAATCCTTCCCTGTTTTATTGGGGTGGGGGGTGATGGCATCAGGGTTAGCTACCTCTGCAATAGGGGAGCTTGGGGGTTTCAAGAGTAAAACCCATTAACATCAGAATTTCACAGAGCAATACTTTTTTCCATTTTTTCCTCTCGGTGATATTTGTGTGCCAAGTTACAGATTTCTCTCTCCCAGCCCGGCTGCTGTTTGGCTCTGGCTCTGCCGTGCAGACATGGGGACATCCTGAATCAGTCTGGCCAGGGAGCTCTGGAAGCCTCAGCAGGTGATGCCAACTGGTTTGCACCTGGTGTGGCCCAGCACTGCTTACCCCTGTCCCTGCTCCCTTGGAAATCTGGAAGCAAAGCCCAGCCAGAGGCTCAGTCAGACCCGACGGTGTCAGGGGCACAGGGCCACTGGTGCTGTGCTGCCAGACATTAATGAATTCTGTGAATGCTCCGTTGGGGATGTGCTGTCCCAGGTGATCGTTTGCAAGCACAAACATTCAGGTGGGTCCTGCTGGTCTCTCTCCCGGCTGCAGCCGCAGCAAATCCCGGGAAGGGGGAGCCCACCCGCCTGCCCCGCCAGCATCCCCACCCCTGGGCAGCTGCATTTCCATGGAAGCTGCAAACCCCACCCTGGACCCTCTGGGTCTTCTGATGATCAAATCAGGAGATGGTATCTATACAGTGCTTGAAGAGGAACATTCATGGATGCAAAGGTTTATTATACTTAGTGAATAAAGCTGATAACGAAAAATCAGTATTTTCCATGAGGGAGAACTTCGCACAAACTTCAATGAAAACTTTTTTTTTCTTTTTTCTTTTTTTTTTCTCACAAAAACCAGACACTTCACAAAATTAATTTTGTCAAAATATAAGTTAAGCATAAAACTGGTGCCTTGCCCCCTTTGTGAGTGCTGCCACTGCTCTCTCTGGTACCCACGCTGTCTGTTACGGAATGGAAAGCACAGCTTATGTCAACAGGAATGAGAGATGGTTTGGTTTGGGGTTTTTTTCCTTCCTTTTAACACGTAAATTTAGGTCCCGCTCTGGTGACTGATGGCACCAACCTCTCGCACAGGGCCTGGGGCGAGGGGCGGCGCTGGGGCCAGCAGCACCCAGCGGGGCTCGACAGTGGAGGAGAAAGCCCTTTTTGTTATACAGTGTTTATTAAGTAGATTCAGTCTTATATATGATATACAGATTCAAAAGAAAAAAAAAAAAGGATTCCACATACTTATGAAATCAGTGCATTTAGCAAGTAATACCATGGAGATAACAGCTCGATTAACAGCTCATTGGTCTTTGTTAAGTGAGGGGACAGGGAGTTGGCCTGTGCTAATCATTCCACAAACAGAACAGAATTAAGTTGCATCACATATATAATAGACACACATTCTAAGAATTAAAATATTAAGCCACATTTACTGGAAAAATCCACAGTATATAACACAAATAACTCTTATCAAGCTCGTTGAGGAGGAAGTGCTCATCTGCTTAAGAGCCACATGAAGTTGCATAGGTGCCTATCTGCAAAAATATCATTTCCAAAGGAATCAATTGATTAAGCAATAAAGTGTCACCTTAGTAGCTGGATTAAGTGCCATACGCTTTCTGTGTGAGCCCTCGGGAAAGCAGCAGCTTCCCAAAGAGCCTCTCCTGCCTCGCTGGGAGCCTCCCGTGGGACCGCGCTCCCACCTCCACCCCGAGCAGCAGCCGGCTCGGGCGAGCTCACCCCCTTCCCCAAAGCATTCCCAATTCTGCCAGGAGTGTTTCCTCCTGGGCCCCTGCATCAGCTGGACCCTGCGGGCAGCACCGCCCTCCCACCCGTGCGGGAGGAGGAGGAGGATGGGGAGGCAGCAGCACTGCCCACATCTGGTGCTTCGGAGCTCTGGATCAGCTCCCGATTGGAATTGCAGCCGATCCGTAAAACTACAGCGTGGGGGGGGGGAGATACAACAGCTTGTGCAAAACCCAAAATTGCTTAAAGGGTGTGCGGGTTTGGTGGGGTGCCCCTGGGCGGGCGCGTGGCGCTGGGTGGGTGAGGCTGTGGCTGGGTTAAGCAGATGAACTGGGTGAGGGGCAGCTTCCTCTTCAACAGCAGGTCTGGCAGAACACACGGGGTCGGGAGTTCTGTACATGTAAACAGTACACTTTCACTGAGTCCAAAATTAGGAGCAAAAATACAAAGGTTCACATTGGTCTTAGGTAGATACAGGCGAAGAACTGAGCTGTGCAGCTCCGAAACAACTGAACAAAAGTTTCTAAAGCACCACTAAATTATATAAAAATCAGACCATGGACGGATTGTAGTTGGTGTCTGGTGAAATACTATGCTACCTTGTAAAAAGTTTTACAAAAAATTACAAATCAAAAGTATATTAACCCTCTGAGTTCAAAGCAGCATTTTTTTTTTTTTCATGAACTGGTACTAAATCCGACGGCCGCTCCGGGAGGGAAGTGGCCCTTGGGATCGGGGAGGTACAAGTTACATCTGCTCACAACCCTGGGAACGCTCTCCCATAGAGAAACAGCGTCATGGGAACCGCACATCCAGGGCAGGATGGGTGTGTTGAAATTAAATAAAATTTAAAAAAAAATAAAAATCTCTTTTTTTCGACCAGTGATCAGCTTTTCTTAACCAAACCCAAGACCATCCAGACCATTTGCTAACCCAGCATTCTCCTTCCACCTCTCAGATATCTGGAAAGCCGGTGTATTCTGCTCCTGCTTGTTCCTTCTTGTTGAGAACCTGGACTAGCAATTCCTGACCCCGTCCTGCCCAGTGAGAGTGCAGGAATGTGGCTGAGAACAGTCCTGGAGCACAGGGAGCCACGGTGGAGCACGGAGCAGCTGCAGAGCACGGAGATGTCTGTGGAGCTCATGCCAAAGGAACCAGAACGCTGTGGCTCACAAAAAAAAAAAAAAAAAAAAAAAAGAAAGAAAGGGGAAAAAAAAAAAAGAAAAAAAGATCCCTCACAGAAATTCGGAGTCAATCCCGTTTGTTTTACAACTTGTCCCAGATGTGGCTGTCACCAGGGCTTTGGGAATCTGAGTCTGTACCATTCAGCTGCAGGTTATGAACATCAGGTGCTGGGACAGGACCGTGTTGGGCTCCCTCCTTCGGTGTCCTCTACAGCAGTTTGACCACGTGTGAGAGCTCCTGAACTTCCACATGTGCCGAGACAGGTTCAGAGGTGATCAGGAATGACTTGGATAAATAGAACTTAACCCAACTGTGGATGTTGGTGGTCTGTCCACGCGTCCCCGGGTTACCTCTGTTTCAGTACAAACTGATGGCAAGCTTATGGCTAAAGGTTCCTCTGCCTCTGCCGAGGAGGGAGGCACCGGCGAGGGCGGGAGACCACGGAGAGGGAGAATCCCAGGACAGCGATTGTCTCTGCCTCTCCTGCCTGAACGGTAAGACTTTTCACAAATGGCTGCAGTTACAGATTTTGTCAAAGGTTTGTTACTTCATGGTATTCACACAAAAATAAATATTTACATAAATTCCAAGTATGGGAGGATGCAGTGGACAAACCAAGCAGGCTTCTGAAGTGCTGGGGAAAGCGTTAAGTCTGAGCCCTGGCTGGGGGCTGGCATCCCCGGGGCCCCCTCCCCACTGCTGCGGGCAGGAGGGGATGGATGTGGCCACGATGCTCCTGGTTCCAGCATCGGGTCAGGTCTAAGAGCCACCATCACCTCGTCTCTGCACTGAACCCTCAGCTGCACCCCGCAGCGAGGGGCTGGGTCCCTTTTCTCCAAATGCTATGGAAAGTTTAAGGTTTGGGGAAAACAGTCAATGCAATGGTTGATCCCTTCTGCTGTGGGGCCAGGCACACCTGGCCTCAGGAGCCAGCAGCTTTTTCTGATCTGAGACTAAAAGCAGGGTAAAGTTCTATTTTTCTTCCAGTGTGTGGAGCATCATGGGGTGCAGAGGGTACACGGGAACTGCCCGGGCCTGCTCCTGGCCAGACCAGTGGCTGCTCAAGCCTGTGCCACCAGCGTTGGCCCCTGGAGCAGCAGCCCCTGGCTGCTGGCTCCAAGTGGCCAAAAAATAAGATAAAAACTGGCTCCAAACCAAGAAAGTTTCTACCTACAAAACAGATTTACACTTATCGAATTTCTATCTCGTGGTGTGGCCTTCAGCCAGGTGGGGGGGCTGCGGGGGACAGGGAGCAGCGGGACCCTCGCTGGTCTCTGCACAGCTCCAGAGCACGTTGCACTGCTGGGCTGGGCTCAGCACCCCTGGCCCGAGCGAGGTCCCTGGGTTAGCAGCACTGGCAGTAGGTATTGCACTGAGCAAAACGAAGTGCATCATTGTGGGGGGTGGAAACAGGGCAGAATGGTCACTGGGCTACGGTTCTTCCACACTTTGGGAACTGTGGGCTTGTTCCAGGACTGTGAGCAGGGAGGGGGAAGGATCCTGGCCCCCGGAGAGGGCTTTGTCAGTTCTGCTGCTCAGTGCTGCCCGCAGGAGCGGGCGGTCACCACCCCAGCTCCCCTCGGGGTGAGCCCTGCCCTGCCTCACGGCTGCAGACGGAGCAGAGCCGGGAGCAGCAGGACCCAGCCGGAGGTTCCAGCCTCCTCGGCACGATCCCCATGTCTGCAACGCTCACTGGCCCCCAGGACTGGCACCGCCAGTCCTGGAAGAAGCCCACAATGGAGTGTGAGGTAGAGTACGGATGGTGACCGCAAGACAGTGTTTCTCAGGTGTCTCCTTCCTTTCTTCCTTCCTTCTCTTATCTGCAATGACTTTAATGAGTGCGAGATGTCCTTCCAGCCGGAGGTCTGCCGAGCTCGCCGAGTCTCTGCGGGAGGTTCAGACCCCACTGCTGCTATGGGACCTCTTAGAACAAAGGCCTAAGCAGGACGCTTGCGCTGCTGTTCAGCTCCCACCTACGCTCACCGGAGGCTGAGCAGCCTCGATGTCAAGGGCTGGATGGCAAACTTGCTCCCTGGGGGACAAGGGTTCACCAGAGAAACAGGCAGAGCTGCCTGGAAATTAGTAGTGTAGTGATATGGAATGTGTTATTTCACAGGAATAAATTCCTTCTGATCAGACAGACAAAAAACTGGCAATCTGTACAAACTCAAAAGAATCCATTTTCAGAAAAATAAATTACTAAGGGGAGAGGAGGGTCCATTTCTCAATAAATATGTGATTCAGCTCACCTAAGACTTGGAAATTATCCAGGGATGGGAATCTAACATTTGGGTCCACAAAGGTTATTCTAAGTACATCTGCAGCCCCAAACCTCCCCAGGCTCCCTTCTGCCCTTCAAAGTCCCACATCCTTCCAAGCTGCAGGGTTGGCTTCTGGTCGGCCGGAGGCACGGGTGTTGGTACGGTTCCAAAACGTGTCCTTGTGCCCGAAGTCCCAGGTGCTTGGAGTGTAAAAGAAAACAGGTCTTTTGGATCCCACCTTCTAAAACTACATGTGCCCACCACGCGGCGGGAGGACGATGGTGGTCCTGAGCAGGACGCCGCTGGGAGCCTCTCTCTAGCAGGTATAAATTGTCTTGTCGACCGAGGAGCGATGCAGACACGGGGAGTCAGTTCTGCTGTAAAATGAGGTTTTCCAGTTCGTCTGCAGAGCGGAGCAGGAACGCCGCCGACTCCCGGTAGCCGGCGATGAGCTGCCGCACGGCGCTGATCTCCGTGGGGCTCAGCTGGGCCGCCTGCATGCCCCGGCTGCTGCTGTTGGAGGGGGCTGTGCTGGACGCCCCGCCTTTCATGCTGAGATCGGTCGGACCTGCCAAGGAAAAGTGAGAGGGAAGCTCAGGCATAGCAAACTTTCCTGTGCTCATCCTGTGGTGATCCCAGACCTCTGCACCGCTTGGGAGGTGCCCACAGTGCCTGGATAACGGGAGGAGCTCCCATCCCACAGAGCAGCCACTCACTGCCTCTGCAACAGGAACACAGGTCCAGAGGAGCCCACAGAGATGCTGCAAAGGTTGGAGCACCTCTGGTAGGGGGACATGCTGAGGGAATTGGGGTTGCTCAGCCTGGAGAACAGGAGGCTCTGCAGAGACCTCAGAGCTCCTTTCAGTGCCTAAAGGGGCTCCAAGAGAGCTGGAGAGAGACTTTGGACAAGGGCATGGAATGACAGAACAAGGGGCAACGGTTTCAACCTCACAGAGGGCAGGCTTAGATGGGATACTGGGAAGAAATTCTTCCCTGTGAGATTGGTGAGTTTCTGGCACAGGTTGCCCAGAGAAGCTGTGGCTGCCCCATCCTTGGAAGTGTTCAAGGCCAGGCTGGACAGGGCTTGGAGCAATCTGCTCTCGTGGAAAGTGTCCCTGCATGTGGCAGGGGGTTGGAGTGAAGTCAACTTCAAGGCTTCTTCCAAACCAAATAATTCTGCAATTCTACAAAGAGGTTTCAGAGCCAATATGACAAAAATCCCATCCTGCAGCCTGGCACACAGCTCTGTGAAGAGAGGGTCTGCTGGGAGGTAAGCCAGCTCCTGTTGGCACCTGCACCATCAAAATCACCTTCCAGGTCATGGTTTTCCCTCTGCATATGGGGACTAACATCCCACATGGGCTGTGCTTCCCTGGTTTATCTTGATGAGTGACCTCAGAAAGTAAAGGCAGGGGAAAAGATGGACTTAGCTTCATGTTGGACTAAGTAAGAGAAGCAAAACAAAGAGCAGGAAACACACAATCAACTGGAAATGAAGAGGGAAATGCCAGAAGATGTACTAGAAATGTGATAGTAGTCAGGGAGAGGAGGCTGGTGAGGCTGCAGCCTGGAGGGAAGGAGAGAAGACACTGAACCAATCCCTGGGCTGTGAGCTGAGTGCTGCAGGCGGATGGAGCAGTTGGTGATGCTGGAGAAAGGCTTTGGGATGGCTGAGCCCTGCTGGGTGGCCTGACTCAGCCATGGGACACCAGGGACACAGAGCAAGGACTGGGTGCTGTGGCTGTTTGCAAACCAGGATGGGAGGATTCAGCTGCCCTGAGTCCAGGTGGGTGGCACTGCTGATGGTGGCAGGGAGGGAAGCTCATCGCCCCGGGGGGGATGGAAAGCATTCAAGGAAAGCAATACTGGAGCTGCGGGAGGAGCAGCACCAGCAGAAGTGCTCCATGCCAAGAGAACCAGAGCTTCAAAGCGGGGGAGGAGGAGGAGAAGGAGGAGGAGGAGGAGAAGGAGGAGGCTCTCATGCGAAAGCAATTTCACTGGGCAGAAAAGGCAGCAGTAAACTGAGCCTGAGCTTGTTTCCCAGCTCACCAAGGGGGAAGGAGCTGGGAGCAGGGATGTGGGCTTCAGCAAGAATTGCCTGAGGTGGGGGATGGAGGGTGAAGACACTTCTGGGCAGAAAAGCCCTGCGGGGCCTCTGCTCAGAGGGAGGAGAAGACGCAGCTCCTTGCAGAGTGCTCTTTCCTTTGAAGGACTGGGCAAGAGCTTGGGAAAAAGACAACTGCAAAACAGAGGTTTAAAAATCCCCTAAAAAGAAATAAGGCCAGGTGCTGCACCCAGGGCCTGTTTCCTCCTCCAGGGACCTTCCCGCATGTTCCCTGTCTCACATGGAGGAGCCAAAGGAGGGTGCCTGGCACTGGGGACCGGGTGACTGTGCTGTTCTGGGGAGGAACCATTGCTGTGAGGATTAGGTCTCAGCAGCTGGAGGCCGGGACAGGATCTTTATTCAGGGTTAAGAAGCATTAGGAAGGGATGATAAGAGTTAATCCCAGACAGGCATCTCTCAGGCCTCCGGAAATCACATCCTTCCAAATCCTGGCTCCCGTCGGGGTGGGCTGGGGCAGGAGCCCAGAGTGCACCAGGACAGGCAATGGCAACCCAGGGACTGCAGAAGGACTGGACAAGGACTGGCAAGGGATCCAGCCCCTCCTGCCACCACTGCTGGAGGACAGAGCCAGAGGGAGCACTTGGTCTCATCCCAGACCTCTTTCTCCAGGTGTGGGCGAGTCACCAGGTACTTTGGAGCCTTCCTGTGTGCCCTGCTCCAGGATACTCTGCTCTGTTCACTTGCTCCTAATCTGAAGCTCTGCCTACGCTCTCCTTCCACCTTACGGCCCTGCAGCATCAGTCCTGTTTTCTCAGCTGTTCCCAGGCAGTCCCCAGCCCCTCAGAGCCCTCCTGAGCTGTGGCTGTGCCCCCCACCCTGTCCCCATCCCCGGGAGCAGAACGGCTCATACCAGCAGGAGATCAGGGCAGTGATAGGCACCCGCCCCTGTTAATAATTAACAGAGAATCTGGTACGAATTCTCCTTTTTTTTTTAAGTGACACTCCTTCCCTCTACCAGTGCCACCCAAACCGTCCTTCCAAGTGCAGTTCAACAATTAACCACCTGCTGATGACGTGAGCAGAGCCACCAGACAGAAGGGACAAGAGGGGATTTCAGAGCAGCTCTGTGCAGCGGTGGGAGAGGTGCTGCCATGACTGGGAGCTCTGTGGGAGCTCTGGGAGCAGCTCCTGCCTCTCCTCCAGCAACCAGCTCAACCCCACAGCTGGGGATGCCAGGAACCCTGGTGCACTGCCCGGGCATGGGGCAGAGGTGATGCCAGGTGAGCTCCCCGTGCCCCTGGCACAGCCACTCACCATTACTGTGGTTGCCTGTCTGGAGGGATGCAGGGGGCTGCAGGCTGCCCCCCAGGGACCCGTAGCCACGGTAGCTGTAGTTCAGGCTTCCATTGATGTAGACTGGGTCTTGGGAGTAAGATGAAGCTGGCAGTGAGTAGGAGGAGTGGGTGATGGCTGTGGAGTCTCTGGAGTGCTGCTTGTCTAGAGCGATCGGTTCGTCCTGCACAGGGGAAACACAGACCCACTCCAGCAAGGAGCCTGGCTGTCCTCTGTGGCCAGCAGGATGGACAGGGCAGGGATGCCTGGTGTCCTGCACTGCAGTGTGCCCAATCCAAACCATCACTCCCATCCCTACTGGCCCCAGGACACACCACAGGGCTCTGTCCTGCAGCCCCTCAGATTTTCAGAAAGACTTCTGACCCCACCACAGGACACCACCAGGTCTGCTCCCCACCCACCTCCAGCTGCCAGCACCATACCTGGGAGGTCTGGTAGATCTCCAGCCGCATCCTCTTGGCTGCTTTCCGCGTTTCGCTCTCGCAGGCGGCGGCCAGGATGTTCTCTGCCATGGCTGAGGTCAGGTGAGGCGGCGTGGGCCTGGTCTGCAGGGACACAAGCAGAGAGGATGCTCAGGATGTGCTGCTCTGGGTGCTGGGACTAAGGGCAGGGCACTGGGGTGGCCACTCACCATCTCCATGCCGTTCTTCTTCATGCGGCGGCAGGACTTGAGGTAGGTGCGGATGCGCTTGCGCGCCCGCTCCTGGAACTCGGGGAACTGCCGGCTGCAGGACTCGATGATGGCCTGGATCTTCTCCTTGGGCTGCTTGGAGATGGGAACCATCCGGTCCAGGTTCTCGTCCACAAAAAGGCGCACGAACATCTGCAAATAGAGAAGACAGGCGGTGGGAACCCTGAGACAGAAGGCAGGCGGGCTCACCCTCCCTGTGGAGCTCTCCTTACATTGAAGGCCTTTAGCCTCTCCGGGTCCATCCCCTCCGAGTCATTGATCTTGTCATTGTCTTCATGGTCGTCGTGGTCATCGTCGTCTTCATCAGCTGTGGGGGCCCTGCCGACAGTCAGGTCCTCGGGGCAGCCGCTCACCTCTGTCTTGATGGAGTCATAGCTGCCAGAGCTGTACGGCGGGGACTGAGAGGAGACAGGGGTTACCACCAGCAGCTCTCACCTCATGCACCTGCCCTTTCTCCTTGTCTTGCTACGTCTGATCCCTCCCCTGCAACCCAGGGAGATGAACCCATGGCCAGGCTCCCCTGCGTGTCACCTCCTGCCTGCTTTGGGCAGCGGGGAGCATGGTGGCCTCAGCGAGCCTGTGATAACCTGGTGGCCCCATGACAGCTCTGGCTGGTGAGGCCATAGCTCTGCCTGTGGGAAACACTGTCTGACCCAGCATGAATGGGCTCCTTGTCACATGGTGGCTGTGGCACAGCTGGTCAGGGGTGAGGTGAGCCCACTGCAGTGCCCAGCTCTGAGGCAGCTGGGGTGTGGGGCGCATCCCTGGCTCTCCCAGAGCATCCCAGGCCATACCTCTGCTGTGGTCTTCACCCCGTACTTGACCCTGCTGCGCAGCCCGTCGGCACTGCAGCTGTCGGACTGGTAGGAAGGGGTGATGTGGGCAGGCGTGAGCTTGTCGCAGAGGTTGATGGGCTGGTCGTCAGCCGAGGCCGTGAAGTCCATGGGGGCTGTGGTGCCATTGCCGTTCATTTCGGGGAAGGCGCTGTCGCCCTGCGTGCTGCTGGAGGTGGAGGGGTTCAGGGTGGAGGAGCCATTCCCGCTGCAGCTCTCTGATGAGGAGTCGTCTGCAAGGAAGGATGTGTGTCAGCCCCTTGGCACCCTACGACCATCTTCCCGAAACTGCTCTGGGCTCACTTGGTGGCTGAGCTGCCCCTGGTTGCCAGGCTGGCACTGCTGCACTTTGGGCCCTGGTATGCAGCAGATGCTGGTGTCCATGCCTGCAAGGCCACTGTCACAGGGATCCACTCCCTCATCCCTCAAAGCACAACAGGTGCTGCCGTGCCCCATGCCCGAGCCACCCATCCCTCTGCAGGTGACAGTCCCCACGCCTCCGCCCTAGGCTATGGTGCCTGGGCTTGAATAAGAACTTTGGAATTTGGTCCTTTTCAGTTTCTGTTTGCATTGCAGGGAGGAGAAAGGGGCACTGCCTCTCCCTGCCAGGTCCCCTGCCATCCTCCTGGCCCAGTTTGGGGCTGGGTGCAATGGGAAGTGACAAGTTCCAGCACTGGTGGTTAAGGGACATGCAGTTCTGCAGAGTGCTGGGCCATGGAGATGACACATGAGGACAGGCTCACTTGGGTGGGAAAACCCTGAATCCATGGTGCCTGGAAGCAGCATTAGGAGCTCTGCTCACAGCTGGCACCACCCAGCAAGGCTTCTCCTTGGCATGCTGCTGCAGGGAGGGGACAGGGGCTGCACAATGTCCTTCCTGTCTCATTCAAAGCCCAAGTGACCTACACCCTACATGCACACTCCTGTTCCCAGTTTCCACATGCCCTAGAGCCATCCCCACAGCACATGCAAGGCCTTTTCCCCACCACACAAACAGGTCAGGGCCCTGGCAATGGCGGTGCCACGCACACCCAGTGCACAGACCTTGGCTGCACTCACACCCCAGGCCCTGGCACCATCCCCCTGCCTGTGCCTGCTCCCACCACGGCGGCTCCCGAAGAACAGCCCAGCAGTGGCAGAGAGCCCAGCACTGCCTGCACCCACCCTGCCTGCACCTGGCCAGGGAGCCCAGCCCTGGGGCCAGGCACGACATTTCAAACTGCTCAGCCTGTTCCCTTCCCTCCCCCTCGCCGCAGTAAATCCTTTATTTCATTAGGTGCCTCTGCGAGAGGGAAAGGGCGAAGCACGTGGGAGCCGCTTCCTGCGCCAGCGTGTGCCGGGCTGAACAAAGAAGCTGTCGGCAGCGACGAGCAGATGGCCGTCCCCGCGCCCGGCCCGGCCACCGTGGGACAATGGGCCGGGGCTGTGGGGCGGCCGCAGCCCCGCGCCGATGGCTCCTGGCACATGGGTGCCAGGTCCAAAGGTGTGCAGGCGCAGGGATGGTGCCCAGCTGCTCCATCCACCCTCCTCCTCCCCCTGCCAGCACCTGCGGGAAACTTTCCTGCGAGGCTGGGCGAGCGCTGCGGTGACCCTGCGGTGGCCCAGGACTTTGTATCCCTTAAAATAAACACACTTGAGGACACTCGGGCATCCCAGCCGACCGTGGGGCCGGCCGGGGCTGCTGCTGCGTGTCCCCAGTCACCCCGCCACGGGCGCCAGCGCTCGCTGCCCAGCCCCGCGCCTGCGCCAAGGCGGCTCCTGGCCCCATGAGCCCCTAAATTAAAAGGGCCCTACTGGAGCTCCCCGCCCAGCAGAGCTCCCTCCCCCTCCTTTCCCTTGCGCTGATCCACTTATTCGTCTGAGCGATGACCAGAGCTGACCTAATCCCGGGGTGGTGTTTATGTGCCGGGTGCTCCGGGCCGGTGGCAGGCGTCACCCGCCCCACCACGGGGCTGGGTGCTGGCAAAAGCCCTTGGTGCCAGCTCTCTGTGCCAGGGAGTGCGGGGCTCCAGAGGCGCTCAGCAGCCAGCACTTATCCAGGGGCACCCTCCAAGCTGCCTCTCCAAAGCGAGCTCCAGTCTCCTGTCCCAGTGTTTGCAGTGGTGGGGCTGCAGTGGGTGGCTGCATCCCACACCACGTCCACATGTTCCTGCTGCATCTGGAGGGGCAGGGTGTTGGGGGCACTGCCATCTCCTGCCCCCACACCCCTCCTGGCCCAGGGCACTGGTCTGGTGCTGAGTCCCCCAGGGTTTTGCTGTCCCTCGGCAGGGTGCAGGAGCAATGCTGGCTTGGCTGTGTCCCCAGCAGGAGCGGGCAGGTGGCCGGGGGCACAGAGGCCTCCCTGCCCAGGATGGCGGCTGTCCCTCCCCCAGCACTGCTCTCTGCGCCAGGGGAGATGGGGCTCCCAGAGGGAGGCTCCAGTCTCATCCAGCGATGCCTCTTGGAAGGATTAAGGAGAATTATTCCCATGCATGGAGGCACGAGCTGTAGGGCAGGCCCTGCCATGGGCCCGGGCACAGCCACAGCAACAGCGCTGGGCCAATCGCTGCCGTGGCCAGGATGATGGTGGGCACCTCCTCCCTCAGCTCCCTGCACCAGCAGGGCTGGGGGCCCACCATGGCACAAAATCCCTGCCAGGTAAGGGCACCAAGAGAGGCCTTTGCCTCTCTGGTTACCTGGGAGAAGAATGTGCAGGTGCCCTGAGCACTCCCAACCTGACCTGCACATCCCCAAACCTGTCCTGGGCATCCTCAACCTCCTCTGGGCACCCCTGCAGGGATGAAAGCATCCTCAGCCTGCTATGAGCAACCCCAGACATCCCCAATCTGCCTTAACTACCCCCACTCCCCCTGGGCATCCCACTCTGCCCTTGCCCATCCACCTCCAGCCTCCTCACAGCCCCCAAGTCTGGCCCCCCTGTGACAGTCCTGCACTGGCTGCTGACACCAGACAGGATCCTGGGGGTGACACCTGGACCTCCCCGATTCCTCCACGTCTCAGGTTTTCTTTTGTGTCACACAAAACACACACAGCAGCAGCTGCACGTCAGGTTTCCACCCGATGCTGCTGCATTTATGAACCCTGGGTTTGTTACAGGCAAAAGATATTGCAAACAAAGAAGAAGATGTCTCTAGAAACCTGCCAGGTGGTATAGGAAATGAAATGGGAATCTAATATCAGTAGCCAGCACCTACTAAAAGAACAATTTAGTTTATACAGGGATGGATGTACGTAAATAATGAGGTTTTAAAACCCATGAGGTACAGATATTTTCTTATTTCTGTATTTTTACACGTTATACGCTACCAGAAGCTCCACACACAAAGTGGTGGGTTAATCTCAGTATTGTGAGGAGAGAAATGGCGACAAATTCAAATTGCTGAGTCCTTGGGTCCAAGTGGGAATGGCCTCAGCCAGCTTGAAAATGCAGCCAAGCTCAGGAGGGAGCTGCAGTCTCCTTGTTGGAATGCATGGGCTGGGGATGAAGATGGGGATGAAGCTGCTGCCTGGGCAGCCTCCCTGGGGTATCTCCAGCCCACAGTCATTCCTGAGAGGAGCCAGGGAGTGGGAGCTGGGGAGAGGGAGCAGGAGCATTCCCACCTTGGGTGCTGGGACCAGATTTAGGCTCCTGTGCTGCTTTGGCAGCTGTGTCAGGACTCTGAGCAGTGCTGAGGCTGTGTTGACCACACTCCATTTCAGCAAAACCCACCAAGCTCTGGAGCTTGGAGAGGTTTTCTGCATCTCCCAGCAGTGCCCAAAGCACATGTCAGGAGCAGGGCTCCAGCAGCAGCAGGCGAGCAAGGCCAGGCTGTGCAGCCATGAATATATTCATTATCAACCAGCACGAGCCTGGTGAGCTCCCTGCTCACGGCTGGAGCTTGGCTGCACGAGGAGCCCCTCTAATGAGGATAATTGGGAGCCCCCCTGCTCCACCCCCGTGCCCTAATTGAAGCAGATGGAACTGCAAAAACAATGTCACTTCTAACCGGTTTGATCTTTCGGTTGGAAAACGGGACTATTTCGTTCTCCTGTTTAATCCCCTCGAGCTGGGGCTCCTTGGGCTGCATGGAGCTGGAGCAGCCCCTGGCACTGTGCAGGAGAGCTGAGGCTGGAGAGCCCAACAGAGGCAGCTGGCCCTGAGGTCCGTGGAGTGCTGCCCTCTTTGGCCCCTCTGCAGAGGCCAGACCACGACAGGACACGTGGAGAGGCTGGGGAGGTGGCTGTGGGGGAGCAGCCTTGTGCCTCTGCTGCAGCCCCGGCATCTCCCCGGCGTCAGCCCAGGAGAGCAAGAAGCAAAATGGCTCCTTGGGCCGCCGTGCTGGGGGAGGAGGGGATCAGTCACTTATTAAATGAATTAATCAGGGCTCAGCGTTTTCATTTTGAAGAGGCTGCTGGATTATCCTTGATTTCTGTGGCGCTGGATTTGAGGAGATCAGGAGGGGAAGGGGCGATTTCCAACACCTGCTCCCCAGGAGATTTTATGGCGGGGAAGTGGTTGGGTTTAACGTCTCTGCCGGCGCAGGCCACCGCACCACTCTCCAGAGCAGAGTTAAAGATGAATGGGGCAAATTGTTCCTCCTCCTGTCACATCTCCAGAGCGGAGACAAAACCTCTTTTGACTCAGGAAACAATGAGCTTATGTAAGAGCCAGCGGCCCACGGAAACCTCGCCGCAGCCCCACACCATGCAGTGGGCCAGGGTCCACCCTGCTCTGCCCACGTCCCACTGCCATGGGACCCCTGGCTGGCCTTGGGGCAGCCCTCCCTTGGCTGCTGCCCACCTGCCTGGGCGGTTGTGGGTGTCACAGCCATGCCAGGTCCCACCAGTGACCCTTGGTGCCCCATGGGCCGTCATGGATCCACCAGCCAGTGCCCTGCCTGCCATGGCTCCACGGGTGATGGCAGTGCTTCTGCCACACCTGACTCTTCCTGTGGCTCGCGGGTGGGTCTGTCCCATTTCCAGCCTGCCGTGGCACCGGAAAAGGATGGAGCTGCACACCCAGCCTGGGAGTGGCCGTCAGGAGGGCATAGAGCATCCCACCGCCGCCCGCCTGGAACAACAGCCAGGAAGATGAAAAGTGCCATAAATTATTCACTCACAAAAGAGACAAGAAGGGAGAAGAAGGGGAGGAGGAAAGCCTGTGAGGAAGGGATACTTAATACAAATTAGAGAGACCGAGTGGGAATGGGGGCCCCGTGGGGGGGTCACTGCTGGGTGTTAGAGCCACACTCAT